ATGCACGGCATAATTTGCGTCCGCCTCGTAGTGTTGTGCTAATTTTAATGTGACATAGCAACGTTCCTCACTCGTGCTTTGCATATGATCGATTCCCACTGTCCGTGGTATCTGCCAATTTTTTAAAGACCTCATGCAAAATTGCTGCCATCCGTCGGCTGTCGTGTGCATAGCCACTATTTTTGTCTCGATAACTGCGGTAGCAAGAAAGGTGCCTAATATTCGGGCTTCTGGAGTCAGACGCGCTACCGTTGCGCCACCGGGTCACGACCTAATATTCGGGCTTGTTGCCTCACTACAACAGAGGATGAAGAGAGTTGAAATACGAATACCCCAAAATCTGGGGAACTTGACGACGAAACGTCCTGCCGCGGTGGTCTAGTGGCTAAGGCGCTCGGCTGCTGACCCGCAGGTTGCGGGATCAAATCTCGGCTGCGGTGGCTGCATTTTCGATGAAGGAGAAAATGCGGTAGACCCGCGTGCTCAGATTTGGGTGCACGGTAAAGAACCCCAAGTGATTGAAATTGCCGGAGCCCTCCACTACGGCGTCTCTCATAAACATATGGTGGCTTTGGGACATTAAACCCACCATGTCATCATGTCGACGAAACAGAGAGGGCAAAATATTTGTATTGGAAGAGCACAGAGACAGACAAATCCCGAAGGAAGACGACATAGCATGAGCACTGGGTGACCACGGGTTGCTTAGACAAACAGATAAGTAAAGGGAAGAAAGTAGAACAAAACAATAGCACGGAACCTATATACATCTAACAAAACACTGCTCATGTAGCATCGTTACGTCTTCTCCAATTACGTCAACTCGCAATGAAGTAGTTCATCGACGGCGCGCTAACACACACGTCACCATTTTTGCAGATAGCAAATATTTCAGGTATCTGAGAAGAACGGACTGCTGGGCGAGTTGATAATTGATCTTAACTGAGTTGCGCGGAAAATTTGAAGTACAAGAGAAGGACACCTGGAGACGGCGCACCCTAACAACTGAAACTTTATTGGAGAAAACAGACATATATGTGTGGTTACGTGAACACGTGTGGTGAAAGAGAATGATTAGATGAGCAGACAGATTGTATTGATCATGCGCTCCCAGAAAAGCTACCTCAGCGGCAAGCAACATAACCGACGGTTGCGCTACACATGAATCACCAGGTTTGTTGATGAGAAACGCTTCTTCAATTTCCCGCGCTACCTTGTCCCTGAATCTAGCTTTGAGTTTGAGTTTGAGTTTTGAGTTTATTCAACCACGTGACAAGTACACGAAAATACAATGTATGCGTGGTTTAACTACCGTATCACCAAACAAGGACCGCATCCGCACTCTCTACAACGCGATGATAGGTTAGAGCATGGTTGCCCCTTTTGAGAAGCTTTGTGATCCATAGTTTTATTATTGATACGAGGACCGGTCTTTCCACACGACAGCGGAGTGCCGTACACCACAGCGATGGCGCAGCTGACCTCCTTGGCCCTGTGCCCGACCTGGCAAGTACCCTTGCCATGCCGCTCTTCCTCCATCCTCCTCGCAACTGCCGCGAAAACGCTGCCCAAACGGGTACTGACCGAAAAAAAAAAGACATTGCAACCGTACCTTGCTCCGACTTTCTTAAAACGGTGTGAGATACCATGTAGATACGGGATGCTTGCAACAGGCAGTTCCCTTGAGCGCCTGCCATGCACAGAGCCTCTTGTCTGGGCTTTGACATTTTGCAGAACTCTTCCATCCAGCCTAGTGGAATGGTCTTTAGGAAATTTAGACAGCTTGAGCCTGTCATTCTGCTTCCCAATTAAGGCTTTCCCCCATACTGTGCGGGCAAGACTTTTTCAGCGCCACCTTCAAACATGTCGTTTCAACAGCATTTTTAGAACTTTAGAGTGTTTGGACAGGCTTTTCACACCTTGAAGCATACATCTAAGAAGTACCATCACAGCCATTGAAAAACATCTCCAAATCTAAAAATTGAATCTACTTGTCCTGAGGAAGCTCAAATGAGAACGGTAGCCCCTCTCCAAAGTCCTCGAAAATTTTGAGCACATTCACGCGTGATTGCACTCACCCAATGGAATTTACCAAAACAATAAAATCGCCCACATATCTAAACGGTTTAAGAACACCTTCCAGGGCCAAATCCACGTCACGATCAACAGAACTTAATAAAAATTCACTCAGAACGGGTGCAACGCTCGACCCAATATAGACACCAGGCCTTTAATTATATACGTCTCCTTTCCAACCAATAATAGTTAAGGACAGGTACACAATAAGCTCCAAAAACGAGGCTACGGACACACCCCACTTGTCCTTAAAGTCAGTTCATCACTGCGAACCTGAATGCAGTCCTTCACGCACTTCAACAACCCATCACGTGGCAAAGAGTAGAAAAGGTCCTCTACGTCTACACTGAACCGTGACAGGGACTGCGGGACAGCAACAACTTGAGCCTGTCAGTCTCCTTACCCCGCCTCGACCCCGGCAACACGCTCGGTAGAAACGTGTATGCTGCTCATTCTGGGTCTTTTTGTTAGCATGTGTGACTGCACTATTTTGAAGCCAGTTTTTTTTTTCTCGCGTATGTTTAATGCTATTCTATCGACAAAGGTGACATCAAATTTCTTAAAGGTTCTCGAAATGACTAGAACGTGTTTTGTACAGAGTTGCTGTTCTGGCTTCGCACTTGTGCGGAGCATGTGTTTTTCTACAAAGTGCCGTCTGACAAGTGATGGTCTGAGGGTGACCGTTGACATAAATATGGGAATTAGCATCGCAACATCCACCCATGAATAACCACATTGCTTTATTGTGCTGTATATCAAATATTTGTGTCGTTCAAATGTTTATATATTTCGTGGAGCAACTGCATTTCTTTTGTGCGCTTGATACGGAATACTTGTGCGTTTCAAATGCCTATTTATATCGCGTTCACATCGAAGAAGCGCAACTGTGCTTCGAATATTTCCTGTGTAAATGAAAGCAGTGATACGCATGAAATACGTTTCTAGTGCAGTAATGATTCTATTTCCATAGAGGATTAAAAATAATGAAGAGTGTTTATGGGTGAAAACCATAATTTGATTATGAGGGACGCCATAGGGGAGGGCTCCTGTCTAATTTTGACCAAACCAGGCTCTTAAACATACACCTAGATCTGTACAAACGGCTTCACACACGTGTGTCAAAGGGCAGCTTCGCATATAAGAACCCTGATTCTGTGATCGTGTAAGTACTGTAATAACATTTAACAGAGCCGTTCGTTTGAAGCACTTGCGAGCGTCGGTACTTGATCCCCACATTGTTTTTAAGCATCTTAAATACGTTGATATGTAAGGACTGACTTCTCAATTAAGTTAGTTCTGTGACAAACTCAATGACTTGTTTGGTCTGTTAATTTAGCTAGTTCCTGAATGTTCTGTGATTGTACATATAGTTAAATTTCTTTCTGTTTGTGCGGACACACTGCGCCGACATGGTCGCGAGCCGATGACGCCATGCTTTTGTTTTTGTTGTCCTTGTTAGTTAAAGTGCTTTACGGCATTACTACGCATAAAAGTGATATTTTCTATTATTAGGTCTCCTTGATTTGGCTGCAGTTTTCGCACGTAGCTCTTGAAGGTGTCGTGCAAATTCTGCGCCAGTTCCTCCAGTGTTAGTGTAGCACGACACAAGCGGTTTTGGTGCAGTGGTCAAATTGAGGACCAAAGTGCAGCCACATCATTTACCTAGCGCCACTTGTAAGAAACGAGAACTCGCGGTAAAGCTAGTGTTGAAGTGCCGATAAACTTGTGCAGCATGGCGCCTAATCGTGTAAAGAAGTGCGGGTGGCGTGAGCTTCACTATCCAAATCGAGGACCAAAATGCAGCACTCTCAAGAGGGCTGCATTTTGGTCCTCTAGGGCAAAACTAGGGCAGAAAGAGCGGTCAAATCGACGAGACCTATTATCCTCCCACAAAAAAAATTTGGCAGCAGAACGTTACAACAGCCATATTTAATTGCGAATTTCAGGGTACCAAAACACTTCCTCGCATTCTAGAGTAATACCATACATCCACTGGTAATCTATAGCTTAAAAGGCCAGAGTAGGGGCTAGTTGGTTGTTCGTAGTTGACAGTTGCGACGCACTGTTTGAACACGAAGACGAAAGAAAAAAAAACGTGTGGTATTCACAACACGACTGCAAAATGTTGTGCTCGGGCTTGGGCGCATTTTTTGTACTACATGCGTTTTTTAGGATATGCGAATACTGAAAAACTTTAAATAGTTTTGAACTATTGAATATTTGTCGAATATTTGTCCCACAGGCAGCAGCGACGAGCAAACCCCAAAGGCACAAAACGTTGGAAAAGTAAGCAATCATTTTTTTCTCGTTTTTTATTTTGGTGAAATATGAGTTTTCATTCAGTTCATGTTTTCACAGGACTGTCGAAGCTTCGCTCATCACTGGTTGAATGTCTTTTTGCTGCAAACCACCGTGTTGCTGAAGCAAATGTATCCTCAGTGCACTACCATTATAATGCCATTCATATTTTAGCATTCAAGTCTCAGCTACTCAAAACCTGGGGATATAGTATACTACCTGTATTCACTCAATTTCAAAATTCCTGGAAGACGACAAGCGTACTTGAGTGAAATAGCGTCCAGTACACTCTAACGGATCTTTGGTATCTTTTTTCGACTAAATGCAACAGCAATGCTACTCTGTTAAAGTTCTTGATTATTAGTCTGAAATGAAAAAAAAAAAAAGAGTTGTATAGTTCGAGCTCTGTCGTGATAAATGGTTTCCTTGCTATTTGAAAGCTATTAAAGTAGTATACGATTTTTATTCAGCTTCCTTCTGAATTCCGCACACCCTTAGTGTTTCGTGTGACTTTCTTCGTGTTCAAACCGCCGCGTCGCAAGTGTGAACTATCTTGAGCGCTTTATTATGCCTCTTCAGTGCCCCTTGGGGAGGCACATTGCTTTCATTGCAAATGCTTTCCTTACCGGCTGGACGCGACGAACCCTGAAGCGAGCGAGGCAGACGTTGCACTGGTCGGTGTCCCGCTCGCGCAGCCATCGCTCGAGGCAGGCCTTGTGGGTCAGGGCCATGGTGCCGCGGCACTCGCAAGGTGCGAACAAGTCGCCGGAACCACGGTAGCAGATGCGGCACACAAAGCCGCCTTCCACGCTGTTGCTCTGATCGGACTCCGCACACCGTTTGTCCATGGCTTCAGCGACTGCTTGCGGCAAAAGGCCCATGTTTTTCTACTCGGCACGCAGGCAGCAACGAGTCCGACATTAGCGCGCTTTCATTCTCCCCAAAACATAGCTGAGTGCTGCAGGGCCGACCCCATGGTCCAAAATTTGTGATGGAGCTGCACACCTGCACGATGTGGACATGCTGCAAGAATTTTCCGAATAACGGTCTTTCCCTAGCGGTAAGGTCGCTAGACGCCTCAGTCTTGCAGGATTTCATTCTGGCGATGCCACTTGTCTAGGTATAGGCTCGGATCTACTTAAACGGCGCATGACTGCACAGGAAAGTTAAAATGTGGAGTGTGGGGCCAGTTTTGTAGTAAAGCACCAATAGACTTGCCGACGGGCAAGATTACATCACTGCGTGGGGGAAAAAACTGGTAAGGCACACGAGAATGGTGGTGATTTGTTTCTCAATGGACCGTTTCCGTGACACGCAGGACTGCGATATTCACAAAATGTGATTGACACGGTCTTTTGCACAGTGAGCTTGTTGGGAAAGTGTACAAATGAAAATGTCAGAGCCTGCTTAACGTCAACTCAGGAGGCTTTTCGTCATAAGTGCTTCACAATAAAATTTGCTAGGCACATTTTGTTACACGCTTCGGCCTTTTATGCCAATTGAAAGACTTCAAAGATACGCAGAATGTTTACACATAATTATTTTCTAGAACCGGCCCGCTGGCATCCTGCAGTGAATGGCCCCATCGGGTGTGTGACGTCAGTTATGGCAAGTGAGGAAACCGGGGTGCCTCTTAGAGGGAGCCTCAAACACCCGGCCCACAGCTTCACATGGAATAAACTTTCGTTGCATCGCTAAATGCTATTCGCATGGCTTTTTCACCAATTGGGAATAATATTGCTTTGTTCGGGAGCTACGGAGATGGGACTGGTGTAACATTTTGTTGTCACCCCAGGCGGTCAAGACGTAGTTGAGACACCATCTTCAAAGCGTGTGCAGGATTCCCCTCTAGGAGGAGGGGTGAAGATTCATCGAAGTGCCCCCCTCCTGTCAACGTATGAACGTATGAGGCAAACATTGCAGCCCCCCCCCCCTCTTGGAATACTATATAGTGTGGGCTGCCACACAACAATGACGCCTATACCACCTAATTCCTGGCCAACACAGAAAGGTTAGCTTAATGAGTGAAACATTTAATATGATTTTGGCAACCAGCAACAATGTGAAAAGCCTGCTTTCGTCATGACATTAATCGCTTAATACCGAAGTTGCCCCCTGACAACGCTAGTTAATGCAATTGTCCCGAAGAACTGTCGCGATGCAATGTTCCTCTCAATTATGCGTGAATAATTAATTTCGAGTCACCGAGACTCGTTCACCACGGATCGGAATAGAAGCACCCGTTGCTTTATAGGCTTGTGCGTCAGCTCCATCGCAACGGTAATGCGCGCATTCTGCCATAAAAAAGGCTTCAACGAGTGGTGCGACAAGAGAAATGCGTAACTGTCTGATTATTTACGGATGCATTCTTTTCTAAGCACATATATTTCCCCGAAACAAGCAGGTGTGATGCTTTAGCACTAACCTTTTAGCTTGCGAAGTCACCGCTCGGTCACCCTGTAAGACCTCGGCAAGCGTTGTGCCTTCTTTCTCGTCTTGTTCTTGTTGCTTGCTTGCTTGATCCTTTTTTTTGTGGCTCTCACCCACTAAGGGGGATTGCTCAAGAAGCCGGTGGTTAATGCAAGTCAATACCTTTAGGTTTTCCAGGCTAGGGGAATAGGATTGCTTTGTTTTCACTGTGAAATTAATTTCTTGTTAACCTTCTCTTGTGGTTGATATTCACTGCGGATAATTGGCCAATAGTTGAGTATTTTTGTAAAGTATTATCCAATTTCAGAGTAAATAAAGTTATAAAGTGAAAACATTACAAATTTTAGAACAAAATTTTGATGCTCACTGAAATACACCTACTATAACGTTTTTCATTAGTAGGAGATAATAACCTAGATAATAAGCCTAACTTGAAAAAATTCTGCTTAGGATAGCTACAATGAACGAAACTATGATGATGATAACTTTATTTCGGTTGAGAAAGAAATAAAAGCTGGTATCGGAAAATTTTACGTACACGCCGCCAAAAATCTATGCTAAATTGGGTCAAGAAACAGGAACACAAACCTCCAAAAAGTAGCGGTATTGTTTAATAATTGAGAAAAGATTTCTAATGAATTGCCCCGGGTGCCCATTATGTGGGCGCTAGCTGCTCTCTCATATGAATGGCTCTTACCAGACATAGTGTAAATCGGCACAGCATCAACAGAGACGTCACGAGATGACAAAGGATGCATGTGTAGAAAACGTAAGTTCCAACGCAAAGAAGCGTTTCATTGTTTGACATTTGTCTACTTTCCATCGTGACCATCACTGATTAACGCAAGATGCCTTATTCTGACCACTTTTGGCGAAGAAAAGAAAAAAGTGGGACAAGATGAAGCTGTCCTGTAACATACTGTCTTCACTATACAACTCCCCTCCCCCCCCCCCCCCCACCTTTTTTTTTCGTTGTAAGCAATAATGCAGTTATCGTCCATATGAGACTATATGTTCTCTTGGCCAATCCCCTAGAGTGGGTACGAGCCATGAATTAGAGAATACATACAAACAATACCAACAAAGAGGGGCACCAAGTCTGTCCCGTCCTCAGCTGTTTATACTCATAGTCTTAGTGACATGCTGCCCCATCGCACTTTCCCAGTCCTACTCAGTCACACCTGTCCCGTTCCCGTTGCTATAGGCAGAGTTATAGTCAATCAGGTTTTCGAATATAGCATCGGTCGGGGATCCCTGCAGCTAACAACTGTTTCTTCTACTTCCCCACATCTCCGGAAACCAAAGGCAGCTGCCGTTGTAGTGGGCACTGATATTCGCTTCATTTTCATGTTAGCTTTCATTGCGAAGTTCGTTTTCTTTTCAACTCGACCACTTGGGAGGAAGTCAGGCGCTGCTGTGGATATCGGCATTTCAACAAAACTAAATAGAAGAATAGAAGCCTGGAATCTGTGGCACACACCAACGCGGAGGGATTGAACAAGAACCGGGTCGTTATAACAAAATACGGAGGTAAATCCTGCAGACCCTTATGGCTGTTGACACTTTGTTGTCCAGACATTATCGACTTCATCACAACATGCCGCGTTCTTTTCTATTTTCTAGTCCTTGGGTGCTATGCAGGATGAGCGGAGCTCCTCGGGCAGACAGTTTGCTCCGAGCTCGCTCTACAATGGCCATGGCATAAAGACAGTGCGAAGCGCGTCATACCAGCGTTGATAAAAATGGCTAGAAAACCAAGCGTAGCGTTGGAATTGAATGTGGGACATTAGCGGTGGTTATCAAAGAAACACCGCGTGCGAACACGTCAGCGCGAACACTCAGAGAACATTTTAACAGTCCAGTGACCTCTACCTGATTGTCGCGTTATTTTTTTTTTTTTCAACTCAACACGCGCCTTCCAAAGAAGTGCGCGTGGGCGTTTCTCGCTTTGGGACAGGTTCTTTGGTTCCATCTGTATCATGAACATTTCCACTCTTGACTTGTGGGGTTTAACGTCCCGAAACCACTATTTGATTATGAGAGACGCCGTAGTGGAGGGCTCCGCAAATTTTGTCCACCTGGGGTTCTTTAACGTGCACCCAAATCTGAGTTCACGGGCCTACAACATTTCCGCCTCCATCGGAAATGCAGCCGCCACACCCGGGATTTGATCCCGCGACGTGCGGGTCATGAACATTTCCACTCTCGAAGGCAGCAGAGGTGCGCACGCAGCAATCTCGTGCGGCTGATTTTCGCCGCGCCACGGGGGTCTAGTGGCTGCCGTACTCGCCTGCTGACCCGCACGTCGTGGGATCAAAACCCAGCTGCGGCGGCTACATTTTCGATGGAGGCGGAAATGCTATAGGCTCATGTGCTCACATTTGGGTGCACGTTATATAACACCAGGTAATCGAAATTTTCGGAGCACTCCACTACGGCGTCTATCATAATCATATGTTGGTTTTGGGACTTAAACCCAACATGTGACGTGCTGCTGGTTTCGCTTCTATGAGATATTGCAGATAAAAAAGACACCAGGGGCACTCGCCTGATGGCAGCAACATAGCTGTACGCGGATAAATAGTGAGCGCAATGAAATTGAATGCGAGACATTGTAGCCACGTGATGATATCGCTTTTACTTCCATGGGTGAATGTGTATAGTGTACGTGATAAAGCTCATAGATTAATCATGCCGCTCGGCGTGAGATCTGCTCCTTGGCTGAAGTAAACTGGTGTGTGTACCCAATGTTCACTGTGGCGTCTGCCAATCAAACTGATTGATGCGTCAACTCGGATACAAACTCGTTGAATCTGAGAAGGCCCCAGTTATACTAGTGACTGTCATGGTGCCGATATCACTATCAGGCGTTTCTGAATCAGAAAAATTTATTATTTCCATAAAGTCTCGTTCTTGCCATCAAATATACAGGAGAAAGTCTCTGAGTAAGAGGCCGAATTGGGACCTCCTATGCAGGCCGAACATGAAGAAAAATGCGAAATTTGCATAGACAGGAAGGCGGAAAGGTTTAAATGGGCATTTTGAGAACAGTGGTTACAAACAATTCTGATAATTTATATAACAGAGAAAAAAGCACGAGAAAAAAGGTTTGAAATATATACGAAAATTCAAAAAAGACACCAAAATATGTTTAGGAGCCGTGCAAACAAAAAGTGGTTTACTGTTATACTGACTGATAAGAAACTTCTTTATTCTTTGACAAACGAGCTTAGATAAATTGATTTTAATGCAGATGGCAATAAGTGCCATAAAGCACTGAGATGAGTGCTTTGTTTACCGTAGTTAGTTCACATCCTGGGCAAAATGAACTTTTTGTATAAAGCAAATCTAGTGTTGGTAGGATTAAGAAATCAAGAAGGGATGATTAAAATGTGGTAAATCTATTATTGGTATGCCA